CTACGTCTAGGTGTCTCTCTGGGAAACTTTATACCTCCCCTCATGGTCCCACAGAGGTACCTATTCATGCATACTTCTGGGGACCCCAAAACTACAACCCAGATGAATCAACTTTCCTGAACCCCAAACCTATAAGCCTTAAGCGCTAAACCTTAAACCCTAAACTTTAGACCCCAAACTCTAAACCTTAAACACCCTTTCCCCTGAACCCTACCCTAAGGGTCCAAAGCATATGATAATCGTATACTCTTGTTGATAGACCACCCTGGGGGAGACATCCACAAAGAGGCCCCTATAGCCAAATGTTGCAATTGGGCATTGTAGGCTAGGGATGGGATTTTATGATACTTAGCCGGGATTCTTATGGTGGGGTGCGGGTCGCTGCCACGTGGCCCAAATGCATCCCGACTCCGCCCCTCGGATCATTTTTCTCCTCTCGTGCGCCCTCCCGGCCCGGTTCAGGGGTGACCTCCCTGACTCAACTGTAGGTACCATCGTTGCAGGGCTATTGGAGGCAGCGTCCACGGGTGCGATACTGCAGCTAGACCTGGGTTGGAGTCATAGACTGGAAGAATCACAATTGTACAAGTTTAACACTTAATCTATTGCTGGAGAGACACGGGAGATCTTGCCAACTGCATCTTCTTGAAGAAACCCATGATAATATCTGCAATTCTCTCCTTGGATACGGTTGCCTTTTTTTTCATCATGAATGGACGACTCTGTTTTTTGTCAGGATTGGACCCCGATTATTCTAGGCTATTGGACCAGCGGCTGTGCTTCAGCTGGAACCATGCTATCTCCTGCCACGCCTCAGGTTTCATTACAATTGCACGTGATAGTGCACGAAAAAGGCAAAACATATGAGTAATCCTGACCTGGAAACATGCAGCTTTGGTTTGTTGGGCCACAGAGGGCGGCCCAGCTGTGCAGCCCGCTCACCAAGATCAAAGTAGCAGAGAAGGCATTGATCCTTGATGAAGTTTTATAGCTGTAGAAGACCTAACTAAGCATAAACATAGATAAACATCAACCTTATTCGAGGTAAGGATCGCAGGAGGTCTGCATCTGTTGTGCCTCATCCAGTGAGAGGTACCGTTGGGCATCCTCGGATTGGTCGAACCAGGCCGCCAGATAATGCCTCGAGAAGTCGTGCTATTGTAGGGTTATATCTAATTAAGACAGGGCGCACACACTTTGCAAGGAGCTTCAGGTTTTCTGAGGGCTCGTGTTCACGGTACAACGCAAGTAAGAATGAAGCCAACCAAGCCACCACCACTCGAGCCTAAGCATGTGACCCAGGCGGCTTTTAATGTACTGTGATTGTTTTTATTAATTAAACCTTCGAATTCTAAGGGGACCCCATTAATTATTAGAAGAACTTCCAACACCCATGCTAGCTAGAGGACACACTTACTTACATCATAGCTGGTATGATCTATCATGAGATTTCGAGTAGCGTTGTAAGCTTTCGCACGGAGCTCCGGAAATGGGCCATCGGGTGACTTCAGGGATGCAGTGGTGAATCGAGGCTGTGTGTTCCTGAGCTAGAATTGGGAAACGGTGCATATAGACACACTACCTAACCAATCTCAAACATATATATATAACTTGTCTAAACTACAAACAGATCCCGCTAGATTTCGTACAGGAGGCGGTACCCTTCGGTCGTGACTCCAGCGCTTGAAGGTTTCATGTGCAGCCCGTAACCGCTGCGCATCGTCGCCCTCCCCAAAAACTCCCGGGAAGTCCATCAGCAGGAGCTTGAAGCTAGATCCCACCACCCACAGCACCACTCCCAAGTTAATAACGTGCATGGAGCACCATCTGTAAAAGGCTGGACAAGCTGCTGGAAGATCGAAGAGCGGGCCTTGGAAGGGGCTGGATCCTTTATTCATGGTAGCCGCCGGGTAGCCCTTTTACTCGATTAGACTATAATAAGATTAGAAGTATGATCACGTATCAACCGAAGGTTGTTTGAACATTCATGGATTCGGTGCTTTTGATGCCACGGTGTGTGCAGGAGTCCCTCATCTCATCAATGGTTCGCCGAGGGAGCTCATCTAGAAGTGAGGGTGCAACAGCAAAAACCTTGTGTGTCACCCGACAGTGGTGACACAGCTCCGTAGATGACCATCCTGTTGTCAGTCCCAGCCATTCCTTGGGAAAAACAGCAGGGACAGTGTACATGTAGACATGCACGATCTACTTTGGGACAAACTATGTGCACATATATTGCATGCCCATATCAAACCCCAGAATCCTTCTGCCACTTCCAGTCACCACGAACTTGAGTGCACAGTGCACGTAGCATCAAACCATCACCGGCCCGAGAAACAGCCACGCCATTCACCATGAGGTGGAAGCTCTTCACGACCTTGGCCATGGAAAGGTGGCAATCATTGTAGCGTTTAGGGCTTAGGGTTCAAGGCTCGATTTGAGGGTTCAAGGGCTTTCTAGGGTTTAATATGGGTGACAAGGGTTTTCTAGGGTTTAATATGGGTGACAAG